CTCATCTCTACAATAAATCAAAAAATTAGCTGGGTGTGGTGGTGCATGCCTGTGGTTCCAGCTACTTGGAAGGTTGAAGCAGAAGGATTACCTGAGTACAGCAGGTCGAGGCTGGGTGACAGACTGAGACTCCAACTTGGGAAAAAAAAAAAACAAAATCCCATGAAGTATAAAAAGTGTTCATGGGAGACGTTAATAATAATAATAACTATCATTTACTGAGTACTCACACTGTATTCCATGCTAGAGATACACAGAAAAGTCTCAATCAATCCTATTGATTGAAGAAAGTCAAACAAGTAGACAAGTGTAATACAACATTACAGACACTGACAGAAGTCTGTGCAGGGAAAAGCAGGATAGGCACCAAGGGAACAGTCATCTTTGTGAAAGAAGGGCCTTCCTCTAAAAGGGGATGATGACACAGATGGCTGCATCTTGACAATTGAGTAAAACCTATTTTCCACTGGAATTATCAGTTTGTGATATTTGTTAAAATACCATTTCAGAGACTTTAATCACACCCACCTATTCTTCAAAACATCCTTTGTCAGTAACTCAAATGCATTTCTCCAAGAAATGTTAATTTTTCCTGTTACAAAGCCTCTTTTAGAGTCAGAACAATGGAAACCAGGCACAGAAGGAGAGTGAAATACTGTGATTTACTGTACCTGCAAATGGATTGCAAATTTTTGGAGAGGAGGAGCCTCAACTAGTATTTCGTAAGCACTAAAATAGAAGAGGTGAGGCATCCTGTAAACCCAGAAGATGTGGGGAGCAGTAAAACATTTGCCGCACGGACTCACGGCAAATTGTGTGAAAGCATCATGATGTTCATACCCCATTGTTTGCTTCTTTGTGTTGTGTTCTGTGCTGGCTGCTGGGGTAAAGATGAACTGGTTAAGAGAATGGGGCAAGCACACGAGGTGATTCAAATGGGCAATGCTGGAGAACCTTGGAAAAGGATTATTTGATGTGTCTTAGAAGTTCCGAGGAAGAGAGATACCTGGACAGATGAAATTAGTCTTCTTAAACGAGACAGCATATCAGAATATACCAATGCAGACCCCCCCCCCCCACTTCCTGAAGTGGGACCTTCTCCAAGACAGCCATACTGAGCAAAAGGCAGTGGACCTGGACCTCTAGCTACCTCCTACAAGAAGAAGCAGATGAGAGAGGCAGAAACAAGACAGTAAAATTCAGTGGAGCCAAAGCCAATATTTTTCAAGTTTGTTAAAGAAGAAGCCCTTCAAAAAACAGTTATAAAACAGTTTTTATCTTGGACCAGGTGCAGTGGTTTATGCCTGTAATCCCAGCACTTTGAGAGTCTGAGGCAGGAGAATCACCTGAGCCCAGGAATTCAAGGTTACAGTGAGCCACTGCACCTCAGCCTGGGCCACAGAGCAAGATCCTAGTCAATAAATAAATATCTTAAAATATTCCCCAACATAAGAAACACGAAAATGTGGAGAAGTTTCTCTCACAGTGTGCAAGCCTTCCACCCTTAGAAGTTAACATGGAGGATACAATGTGTTATAAGCAAAAAATACCAATGGAGACAATTCAGGAAAGGAATGTTGAGTGGAAGTTCATAGATTCCAGTCCCATCCTCATTACTCAAGAAGAAACTCCTAAGACAGTGCTCATTTCACCCAGCAGAGCACAGCAATACAGTCCAATGATGACCTTAGTGCAATGCCCCTTTCAGCCCTTTCTCAAAAACTGATGTAACAAAGGAATTACTCCAGAAAATTTTGTCTCTCCTCTGCTGGGACACTGGCACGAGGTGATCAGCTTTTACTTCTGCTTCCCAGTGACTGAGCTTGCTTCCTTCCTTCCTTCCTTCCTTCCTTCCTTCCTTCCTTCCTTCCTTCCTTTTCAGAGACAGGGTCTTCGTCTTTCACTCATGTTGGAGCACAGTGGTGCCCTCATAGCTCACTGAAGCCTCAAATTCCTGGGCTCAAGAAAGCCTCCTGCCTCAGCCTCACAATTAGATAGGGCTACAGGCATGCACCACCACACCCAGATAATTTTTATTTGTAGAGATAGGGCTCTCACTGTTGCCCAGGCTGTCTAAAGTCCTGGATTAAGTGATCCTCCTGCTTCAGCCTCCCAAAATGCTGGGATTAAGGCATAAGCTACCATGCCGGGCACCCTTTTTTTCTTTAATGTAGTTCTCTTTAGGTTCTATTAATATTTTACTCACATTCATCAAATTCACGTTTTTCAAGTATACAGCTCATGGTTTCTAGAATTCACAAGGTTGTATGACCATCACCATAATCTAATTCCAGAACATTTTCATCTCCTCATAGAACAACTTTGTATCCATTAGCAGACATTTCCAATTACCCCTCCCCTCAAGCCCCTGGCAACCATTAATCTCTGTTCCTATGGATTTTGCTATTCTGGACATTTCATATAAATGGAATTATATGATATATGGCCTGTGTCTTGCTTCTTTCACTTAATATTTTTATGGTTCAACCACATATCACACATCAGTACTTCATCCCTTTTTATGACTGAATAATATTCTCTCATATAGTTACCATATTCTATCAAATGTAACATTTTGTTTATCCATTTCTCAGCTGATGAACTTTGGGTTGTTGCCCCCTTTCAGCTATTGTAAAATTGCTGCTATGAATATTCACATACAAGTTTTTGTGTGGACATATATTTTCATTTCTCTTGGGTATATACCTAGAAGTGGAATTGCTGGGTCATATGATAACTTTATGTTTAACTTTTTAAGGAACTGCCAAACTGTTTTCCAAAGTGGCTGCACCATTATACTCTGCCATCAACAATGTATGAGGGATCCAGTTTTGCTACATCCTTGCTTGTTTGTCTTTTTAATTATAGCCATCTTAGTGGGTGGAAAATGGTATCTCACTGTGGTCCTGATTTGCACTTCTCTAGTGACTAATGATGTTCAGCATCTCTTCATGTGCCTGTTGGCCATATGTTTATCTTCTTTGGGAAAATATCTATTCAAATTCTTTGCTCATTTTAATTGGGTTGTCTTTTTATTACTGCATTATAAGAGTTATTTATGTATTCTGATTACAAGACCCTTAACAGATTTGCAAATATTTTATCCTGTGCTGTGGATTTAAATTTCTTGAAGCGTCTTTTGAAGCACTGCTGAGATACTTTTAACAAATATTTAAAAATCTTAAAGCAAACTAGATTTCTAAGTTATTCTTTTAAACTTAATAAGCAGTACCTTTATGAGCAAACGATTGTATGCAGACAACATTTTGAGGCTTCCAAACTAAAAGTCTTGAGTTTATTAAGGGACTCATCACAGTGATAGTTACTGCTTTTATAGCATTTATTTGCCAGGCTCTGGTTGGGCATCGAATTCTCATAACAATCCTATGAGGTAGAAACTGTTATCATATTCATTGTATAATCAAGAAAACGTAGGCAGAGGAAAGTTAGGTAATTTGTCTGAAGCCAGAGTAGAGTACCATAGATGGACTTGATAGAATGTGGTAACCATACGATAAAATACTAGTCAGCTATAAAAAGGGATGAGGTACTGATGCGTGCTACAACGTGGATGAACCATAAAAACATTTAAGAAGCAAGACACAGAAGGTCACATATTGTATGATTCCATTTATATGAAATGTCCAGAATAGCAAAATCCATAGGAACAGAGAATAGATTAATGGTTGCCAGGGGTTTGAAGGGAGGGGAAATTGGAAGTGTCTGCTAATGGGTACGAGGTTTCTCTACGGGGAGATGAAAGTCGTTCTCAACCACTTGCTAGACTGCCAAGACGGAATGAAACCGTTTCAAAGACTGCCTACCCCCTCGCTTTAGGGAGAGAATACTGTCTTCCTGGCGTCTGCACTGTGGACATTTTTCCTGTCCTTACCAACCCAGAAACTAGCAGTGCCACCCACGCGGGAGTCTTTGTCGCACACCTGCCCTTCCAGTCCGGAGCCCACTCGGCTTCAGGACCCTCTCTCCTCCCCGGGTCTGTCGCACGGAGGCATTAAACGTTCTTTGAAGTAACAGCGAAATCGCCAGTCTCCCAGCTACAATGGTCTGAATACCTGGCGGCCAATGAGCGCCGAGGAGCCGCG